CAATTGTTTTTATTTCATGGGTCACTTTTGCTGGATTTTGCAATTAATTTCAATTATTCCAAAATTTATTTCCAAGTTATAAAAATTGTTATCATACAAAAAAATTGTCACAAAAAGTCACAGGAAACAATTGCAGTGATGAAAACTTGGAAATCCAAAATTTCAGAATTACGGGTCTGGATCCAGCCTGGAATGCTTTTAATTTGCTCACAGAGTCAGCTTGATTCCAAAATGGTATGATATGTTGGGCTATGGCCTCTAGGTGTAAAGTTGAAAACACAGACAAATTTTATTTTGAAACACTGTAATTTGAGAACAGTAATTTTTTTTCATTTGAACATGAGCTATTGAAAGTTAGAGAGTTGTGTCCCTTTAATTGTTTTTATCAGTAGAGGCCAAGATGGTGGAATCCAAAAACAATAGTAGTAATGAAAACTTGGGAATCCAAAATTTCAGGATTGTATGTCTGGATCCAGCCCAGAATGTTTTTAATTTGCTCATGGAGTTGGCCTGATTCCAAAATGTCATATATTGGCCTAGGAGTTGAAAAAGTTTGACACAGTGACATTTGCATTTATTATATAGATGTTTATAAAAGGAGCCATTTTTTAATGGGATCATTGTACATTCTTAATGCAGGGTGTGGTAGAAATACCTCCCATTTTAATAGTCATAAAAAAAAACAAGGTAACAGCTACTAAAAAATTGTTTAAACAAATTGTTACAGTTCATTTTGTTTAAAAAAATGACATCCTCCAAATGGTGGCCTCTATTTGCCATACACTGTTGTAGACAATTTCTAAAGTTTTCCATCACCCGTAAGTTTGAGCATTTTAAGGTCTTCCAGGGGGGCTTTCTTTTAAGTGCTGAATTTGTGGCTCTGAAATTTTCAACTCATAGCAGGATTGATTTTCTCTCTGGAACAGCATTATTCTGACGTAACATGAAATGAGCATGAAAATCTCTCTTTGTTGCAATCACAGATTCACTAATCTTAAAAAAATATTTCAACAGCAAATCAGTCCAAGCCATCATCATATCTGAAAAAAAAATGGTAAGACATTTGCTAGATGAAGACACCATTGTCACTTGCCTAAGTCCACTAACACTACACAGGTGACAGTTTAAAATGCAGTAAGTAAATCATCTGTAGATTGTAAAATGTCACATAAAGTGATACTAATTTGTTGAAAGTAGTTGATTGAATAAATGTTTATTTTCACTTTGCAGTTGCTTTCCACTGTTATTGTTTGGTTTTATCAAAACATGTATTTCTATCATATAAGAAAATGTTTCTTGTGAAAAACTGGTTTTGAATTTTGTAGTATTTAGTCTTTAAAAAAAAATGGTGTAGAGAACTTTTGCACAAATTTAATATTTTGTAAGTGTTCATATCAACACTAATACTTTTGCAGCATCTTCAACTGATGTTGACCATGACAGGTGCATGGCAGCTGTACAAGAATATGATGCTGACTCAGGAACAGAAAGGTGAGTGATCTTTGACCCCACAAAAAATTTGTCTCTCTCCTTTCTGCTCTTAACATTGATTCTCTTTTTCTGTATAAAAATCATTAGCCATATCCTTTTTCTATCAGTAATGATTACCTTAATTCCTGACCTCTGACAATCCCTTTTTTGTCTGACTTTCAATGCATTCTTTAGTAAAACTCATTAGCAATGTATTTATATTCTACATATATTTGCCTTATTCTCTCAGTAAAACTTGCCTTAACTTCTAACAATACCATTTTCCAGATGTTCAAACATTGAGTACTAAAATTTGATAAAATAAATTTTAACTAAAAAAAAAAATAGGTTAATCATCAAATTTTTTTTCCTGGTGCCCCCAAAATTTATTAGTATTGAAGATGAATGGAAGCTAAGCAAGGAATTGGTGATGTCAATAGGCAATAACAAGAAAACAAATCAAAAACCTTACCTACATTTACTAAGTTTTAACACGGTTGGTGTTAAAAAACAACTGTGGTTGTTTCATTTTCCCCCTCCTAACAGAATCAATCTAAAGAGGGATGAACTCTGTCAGGCTATCTTGCCCTAGACACAGCCTTACTGTTATGGCTGCAGTACATGTCAAGCCTCTATGACCTTAATGGGTTACAGAATTGTAACATGATGTAACCAAAATTTGCTGTGTCAAGATGTATGTAATCATGAAAATTTTGAGGTACATAGCAACTTGTACCCAGATTACATCTAATTTACAAATGGTTTCTTTATTTCAATTCCTGCTATTCAAATCATTCAAATTTTGTTTCTTCAGTGATCAATGTTATCCAGCCCGTGACTCACAGATTGATTTTGTGCAGCCTGTGACCAGGGCCAATTTGGAATGACATTTGTTACTTATGCTAGAAGCTGGAAAGTTTAAAATCTTAAGAGTGTAAATATTAGACCCTCTACCCTCTGTTGGCTTCCAAAGGTGTTGACACTGTTTGGTGTCCTTGGAAAAATAGAATTATCACTTTTTTTTTAATTTTACAGTTAGGTTCACTCTGTACAAGGACTGGGAACCACTCAAGGTAGAGGGTTACATTAAGGGGTAGCTTATATGGATAGGAGGGGGAAAATAATGGTTAACTCTAGATTGAACAAATTAAGATTGTAGTGATTGGGGAAACATCTTCTTGGAGTCTGTTCCACAGGATAGTGGTTTGTGGGAAGAAGCTGTTTGAGTGGAACTTATTTCTCACCAATAGAATACGGAGAGAATGTGGGTGGTTTGCTACTATGTAAGTGGCATGGCAAGTCCTAGTTGTGAAGTTTAAACCTGGCGGAACCAAAGAATGTAGTTCATTCAAGCACTTTCCATGGTAGTAACAATAGAGCAGTGGGAGAATATTTAAAAGTTTTGGTCAGAGCAGAAGCGATTCAATACCAAGCAGAAAATAAAGATATTTTGCTGTATTAATTTAAGGACAAGAATCTTTATTGTAGGGTTAAGAAAAACTTCAGGTTGTCTTTTTTTTTTCTTTTTTTTTTTTTTTTTATATATGTTGTATATTCCTTCAGGATGTAGGTGATTATGACTCTCCACAGATTCCTTTTCTTTTGTTATCTGTGAATTGACATACATTTTTGCAAAGATAGTGGAATAGTTTCCCATTGTCTTCTCTGCAGTTTGGAACTCAGAGTTTTCCTTCTTTTAAATTGGTTAATACATAGCGTGTGGCAGGGTAAAAAGAAAAAGATTCATTCCTTTCCCAAGGACATTTGTGCAAAAGCAAATGTAGCAGACAAGGCTGAAATTTGAACTTTGCTCACTAATTTAACTTTCCCACTCCAGTATCTGTTATCTCAATTTTTTTATGATTATTTTGTATATCGTTTGATTTATCTTTGTAATAAAATAAGATTTATCTTTGTAATAAAATAAGCCACATCATGTTGAAACATTGGTTCCCATATGATCACCAATTGGTGGGTGGCTGCTTGGAAATACCAGGTGCTGTAAGTTTGAATGTGTGGGTAGTGTAATGAATAATGGCTCGGAATTGTTAATTGAAGAGCCAAGCTTCAATTCCAGTTGGGTTCATTATATTCACTTATGTGCAAATACCCTTAGGAAATGTATGAACCCACCTCTTCTCCTCCCAGCAATGGGTTAATTAGTAAGACTTGTATTACTAAATAATTATCATCTCAGAAAAAAATTGTTACAATCTAAAAAATATTTTCTGGCTTTAAATAACTTGCAAAGAGTTGATAATCCATAGACAATGAATCAATCAAATAGTAATGAGAAAATGAATGCAAGTTTCTTTTAGCTGTATAGTAAAAGCTGTTAAAAAAAAAAAATTATATTCTAATAAACCCTCTTCTTATATGAGAGGATGCTGAAAATTTCTCAACCTGACCTATTTCTAAAAATCTGAACAATTGAGCAAACATCAGAATTTTATTTGGAACAGCATCTTGGTTGGGCCAAGAACTTTTCAACATTCTTTCATAAAATATATAAACTGCAGCTCATGGACTATGAAGAACTGGACAGCCTTGTGATAAATGATAATTTAGCAATGATAGAAAAGTAGGTGCTACTTTGGCTTGTTATCTGCAAGTCATGAATCTACTTTGGTATGTGATCTATTTTTAGATGATGTATGTGCTCTTTATAATTACAATATTATTAATAGAAATTTTTTTAATATTTTAATTATATTTTCTCTATAGTATATATATATATATATATATATATTATGTTTTACTATGTCAATATCATTCCAAATTAAAATTTGTAGGGTGTAGACATTTTAGTCAATATACATGATGTTTATCACGAGAATATAAATAAAAGAAAAATTTGTAATAATTTAATTACATTTTTTTATGTTATATATATGTTATATTTTACTATGTAGATATCATTCCAAAATAAAAATTGTATGGTGTAGATAGTTTTTCCTTGTAAATAACAAATCAAAGTAGTACTGAAAACTCTTTTGACTTTAGTCCAAAAGCAAAAAAACACTGCTTGACTTCAGACTATCAAAGCACCAGAAATCAAATGATTGCTTTTGAAAAAAAGAATAAGCCTGAAAGGACTATATATCTGATCATCTATTAAGCTTTATATGTTTCTCCTCAATTAATTTTTAAAGAAATATTTTTATTTTTGTCATGTCCCTTAGAAAGTTTAAAAACAGGTAAAGATAAAGGTTTGCATATTAACATAATGAAAGGGGGGTGAAATTAAGTTTTCTAATATTATAAAAAGTACATATTACATAGCCTCCATCAAAAGTTTATGATAAACATTTAGCAGAAAACTGTAGCTTTATTTGCTAGAGTTATGTACAGTTTGGGAGTTGTATGAGGTGATATTAGTGATTGTACAATTCAACAGAAATACTTGCACAACTAATGTTCGTTGTTATAATTCAGATTTCTGAGTCAGCTATGTGCTATTTGTGTTCAATTATTGCATGTAATGTTGTGCTGCAACGGCTCTGTAATCTTTACAATTAATGAGAAAAATAAGCAACAGGTTTGCATCAAATTTTGCATGAAGCTCTGCAAAATCTACCAAGACCTTTACAATTAGGCTTTTGGTGAATATTCTTTTGTTTCAATATGGGATTTTGAGTGGCATATGCATTTCAAAATTGGTTAAGTGTTGGTTCAGGATGATGAGCATTCAGGTCCCTCAGTCACTAGCACCAGAAAATGTGGAAAGAATGAGTGAACATTTTCATACGGATCATCACTAAACAATCCATTACATGATGGGAATCATTTGTGAAGCCTGCCAGATCTTAGTTCCCTATATCAACTCACATTAGACTGATATATTTGCTAGGATTTTTCTAGCTTTTATATACATTTTAAACAAAATTTTACTTATAAAAGTTGATGTATGTATGTATGTATGTATGTATGTATGTATGTATGTAAATCATTTTACCCTGAGCAAGCCACTAAAACATAAGAAGGAGTTACTGAGAGTGAAGGAAACTGAGAAAATGTTACTGAGAAGAGAAGATAATAAAAAGAATTGGATTCAAAGAGACAGAAGATAACAACAGTGGATTTAAGTTTTTGAAGACTAGTTGACAGGAAAGCAAGAAACTGGAAGAGTTCCATAGGCAAGAGAAAAAACTATTAGAATATGACTTATGGTTACACTTAAAAACTGCAACAGTAAAATGATAGGATCTAGCTGACAATCTAGTGCTAAGCTTAAATTCATGAAGATATAATTAAAATCACCTTTCAAGTTGTACATAACACATATTGATGTTGGTAAAAAATTCTGTACTCTTTTGTCATTTGATGGCATTAAGAGTATTTAGTTTTAGTTCAATTCAGAAAGATGATTTTATATAATTTTTAAACCAGAAATATTGAATCTATAATCAGATTTTAATATTTTTTTCTTTTCACTTTCAGTATCAAAATAAAAAAAGGAGGTATCAAAAAGTTTCGTTTATCAAAGCAGTACAGCTGTGAAATTTGTGGCAAAAATTACAGTCGAGCTACCCGGTTTTTGGAGCACAAGCGAACTCATACTGGTGAAAGACCATTTCATTGTAACAGCTGCGGCAAAGATTTCACCCGCAGCCGAAACCTATTACAGCACAAACGGACACACACAGGAGAGAAACCCTACCCCTGTGAATGCTGTGAAAAATCATTCACTTCTCGTGGTCACCTGCTGGAACATAGTCGGACACACACCGGTGAGAAGCCCTACCAATGTGGAATCTGTGGAAAGGGCTTCACACACAGCACTACATTGAAAGGCCATGTGCGCATACACACTGGTGAGAAACCATTCCATTGTAAAATGTGTGGTAAGAACTTCACTTTGAGTAGTAGCTTGGAACGACATAAACGTATACATCGTGGTGAGAGACCCTATCATTGCGAGGTGTGTGGCAAACGTTTCACTGAAAGCAGCAGTCTACGTCAACACTTGCGATTACACACAGGTGAGAAGCCCTATCAATGTGACCAGTGTGACAAAAGTTTCACTCAGAGTCACAGCTTGCATACCCATAAATTGCGGCACAGTGGGGAGAAGCCATTCCACTGTGATGTCTGCAACAAGACTTTTACACATAACAGCAACTGGCAGCGTCACAAGCGAACACATTCAGGTGAGAAACCATTTCATTGCAACATTTGTGGTAAAGACTTTACAATGAGTAGCAGTCTAAAGAGGCATGATCGGACACATCGTGGAGAGAAGCCCTTTCACTGTGATGTGTGTGGCAAGAACTTCACACAAAGCCATAGCTTGCAGGAGCATAAGCGGACACACACAGGTGTGAAGCCGTTTACGTGCGGCGTCTGTGGGAAAAGCTTTACACAGAGCACATCACTGAAGACGCACGAGCGGACACACACTGGGGAAAAGCCATTCCAATGTAAAGTTTGTTTAAAAAGCTTTGCTACACGCATTGGGTTGCAGTACCACCAAACAGTGCATACTGGAGAGAAGCCTTTTCTCTGTGAGGTGTGTGGCAAAAGCTTCACCCAGCTCAGTGGACTGCAGCTGCACAAGAAAAAACACTCACTTGACAGCCTTTTCTGTTGTTCATTATGTGGAAAGAGTTTCACAGATCAAAATCTTTATGAAAAACATAGTCAATCACATTGGATTTTTGGCATGGAGTTTGCCTCAACTATAATCTGAAATATTTTTCCTCTTCCATCATAAATTAATTGGAAGCCAAGCATCAAAAATAAAAATTGCCTTTAAAAAATTTATATTTAATATTTAAAATGGTTGTTAATTATCTGCTCTTCATGTACGTTACTGTTTCTTAAATCAGATAATTACTTCTTTAATTTGTGATCTTTAATCATTAACATCTGAATTTTAATTGACATAGGCAAGAAATTGCTGGTGTCCTTGGTATTTTATTCGACTGTGCAAGAAAAGTTCATTAACACTTGAATGAGAATATATACCAACTTAGCTTGCAACATAGAACCAACCCAAATTGAGCAGTCCTGTTTTCGGATAGATAAAATCAATTTAAAAATGTTGGTGAAAGCAAATAATTTGTTGACTTCCAAATAATTTATGTTAACCCTGAATCATTTACTAAAATATTTCCTTTACATTTTTGCCATTGACTTTTGCTTAAAAAGCAAAGACATTTCAACCATTGTTTCATTCATCACTTCCAGACAATTTTATTGTATACCACAAATCCTTTCCTTTTCCTTTATCTCCTTTCTTTATCTTCTTGTGGGCCTTCAACTGCTCAACACTTTTACATCTCTGCTGCCAGGCCTTTGCTTGCTGGCCTTTTGTTCATTGTAAACCTTGCAGGCATTACTACCTCTGGACCCCAATGTAGGCAACAGGTAGAGGGAGGTGAGGTACATTGGTATTCTGAAGATTGCAGATTTCTCACACATCATTCTAGCCCCCCTGGGGAAAGGTGTTGTATGTTATTTTTCATTTTATCATTGTGCCATTGTTTTGGAGATGGTGGAATTGTCTGCTGACAGACTAGAAAGACTTTAAGCTGGAGGAAATTACCAATGCCTCCTATTCAAGTTTAACAATTATATGGAGATAAATGTGGCATCTGCAACTACTATTCATTGCTTTTGAGATGTGTTCAGGGTGCCTCAAGGAGTTGTTTTTTTACATTGACAGGCCTCTTGAGTAAGTCCAGCAATTTCAAATGAGCATTGATTTTGTTCTCAGAAAAATCTGCTTGGATTGAGGTTGAAAGATCTGCTTGCCATACAGGTGGGTAAAGAAGGCAATCTGATTTCACCAACCTGTCTTCCTGAATATATTGACAAAACAAGAAAACAATTTGATATATAATACCTTTTTGATAATTGATCTGATTTCATCAGCTTCCCCACACCTTCAATATTTTTTCTTATGACTGTGTGGAGAAAGCAAAAATCAACCAAAATGACATTTGAATTCCTTTGATCCATATTGTATACTTCCCCAATTTGCAGTTTTTCTCAAACTTTGTTAGCTTTGTGTAGGTAACAAAGCCCATTGTCCATGGCATAAATACACACCCATTTGTCAATCTAGTTAGACTTTAGAGCAATGAAGACGTGATGTATACTATTGGATCTTGCAGATAAACCTTGAGTTAATTCTAGGTTCAAATAGCTGGTTTGCCTTGATGATTTTACCTTATTTTATTACTCCTTATTTTTTCAAGGTTTATCATGTCACAATTCACCTTTGATTCAACACAAAAAGGATAAAAAAAGGCTTTAAAAAAAGGAACAACAGTCAAACAACTAGATTTTGCCAATTTTTACAGTTTTATTCATCAACAAAATTTCCCAATTTAATTATGAAATATTTTAGTTTAAAAAAATCAGTATTATTCTTTGCTGGCACAAATGAATATATTTGATGTATAAATTAATTTCAAATTACATTTTTTAAAAATTGTGATGGATTTTGTAAATGAGGAATTTGAAGCAGAAAGTTTCTTTGAATGCAGCTAAAATGGTTGAAATAGTTTGGGATCTTTTAAGTATTTTAAATGAGCAAAATCTGGATAGTTGACTGAGGAATTATTTCCATTTAGAGATTAGAAAAATTTAAAACCCAGTGTTTTACTTATCAATCAGTTTGATTAAACTTAAAAATACAACATGGCCAATTTTGTGCTGCAATTTTTATATGCAGCTAATTTTATTTTTTTTCTATCAAGAAGGGTTTATTTCAACCACCAAAGGTTAAAGTTTTGAGTTTGTGCATTCCCACAATGACAGAATATTCTAGAATAAAGTAACCAATATCAAAACATGTCTAATCTGCTCACTGATTTTTGTCCATAATTCTAACTTCTGGTTATGTCAATATACTTGATTTTTTTTTTTCAAACTATTGGTCTTATCTTTGTTATAGATTTTATTATAGAAATATTTAAAGCAAGTAATGTCTAGCCATCTATAATAATCTCCAGCCATCTATAGTAACATCTGTAACAAGCAAAGATGATGACAGTAGTTAAAAAAAGATCAAGTATGTTTAGATAATTCATCATTTAAAAAAAAAAACAAACCTCAATTTTTGTTTTTCACTTTTTTCTACACTGACCTTTTTATATTAAGAGTATTCTATCCATTTGATAGAACTTTCTTAGAAATATTTTAAACCAAAGATCCTAAACAATTTATGAACAATAAAAAAATGTTTTAAAATTTTTATCAGATATTAAGGTTTACAAAATGATTACAAGAATTATCATGTGAAAGTTCTAAATATATTCTGAAGAAAGGAAATTGGTGTTATTACTTTGTAGGTATCCATTTATTTTGTGAGATCAAGGTAGTGCCATTTTGCCAAATCTACATAATTTTGTGGAGTGACCTCTCCAAGGTATAGACCTGGGCAATAGTATATAGAGGTTGTGTGCTACCCAAACCACATGACCCTCAGTTGGCTGTACTGACAAGATCCAAACAAATAAAAGGGCTGGCTTCATTTCAGGAGTTGCCAGGAGGTTGTTTGGGGTCTCCACTCCAGATTTTCTGTTTGGATTTACTTCCATCGTCTTTTCTGTGTTTGGATATGACTTTAAGGCAGCAGAGGTTGAAAATCAGAGTTTGCCTTCCTGGGCTGATGAGCTCCACCTACCCGAAGCAACTGGTTATGATGTGCCAATGGTTGACTTTTGCTCTTTTTACAGCTTGGAGCTGAACTTAGTTGTCTGAGTCTAATTTAAATATATGCCATAGATACATTTTATAGACAATGGCATTACTTAACCTATGTGAAATTGGTAAATGATTTCTGGTGATGTAAATTTTATGTTTTAATGTAGAAAAATGATGAGTGTGTAAAAGTAACAAAATCATCATTTTGTATGGTTTTAGCAGGAAGTCTTCCATTTAAAATGAAACAATTTATGTAAATCCTATAGACTTCAATGTGGAGTACAGAGCCACAACTTTAAACACACTAGTCATTATTGCAGTGGTTCCCATAGCTTTCACCCAAATACCCTGGGAAAGATATGAATTCATCTTCTCCCAGCTAGGAGTTCATAGTAAGGCAGATTAGACTTACTAGCCTTGGTTAGCAACCAGTCTAGGAAAAGGGCCAAATCTGAATTTTAAAAGGTGCTGTTACTTAGCCTCATGCCCAGCCATTTTTGAAGATGCTTAAAACATTCTTTCATGTATGGTGTATATAATATATATGTGTTATATATAATAATGGCTGGCTGCTTGATTCCAAGCACATCTATTTTCTAGGGTAGCTAACTAATCCATGTTGCAGGTGCCCGCTCAGGCACATATATTTCTTCAACACTCACAGAGCCAGCCTGAGGTTTATACTGCAACTATGCTGAGTAGCTCTTAGTTTCAATTTCTGGGTGAGAGTGCATAGTCAGGCAACATAAACAGTTGAAGAAGGACAGTACGCTCAAAGCTTTGGTCATGGTAACTTGTGACTTTGTGATGACACAACCATTGATGGCTTCCAAACAATTTCATGTACTCAATGTCATTCACGAGGCTAAAGTCAACCTGTGGTATGGTTTTTAGGCACTTTCTAACTGCCACACTCTGGTGCCGTTTCCCTAGGCTGAGCTGATATCAACTCCTTGACAAATTGACTCTGGTCAGATCCAAACCTGGGTCTCATATTTGATTAAACGTGCTGTCAAAAAATGATGGCAATAATAATTTTGTAATTTCACTGTACTTATAAAATATCACAAACTTCATGTTGTTTTGTATTTTCTTGTTTCTATTCAACTAACATAATACCCATCAAAACTGACAGGATTATATATAGATCAACACTTCTGCCTTGGATCAGTGTTGTATCTGTGTGCTCAATACAATTAACTATTGTTGTATGATATTTTACAAATGAAACAATTCTGTTTTTAAGTCATTAAAAGTAAAAGAAATATTGTGAAAAATAAAATGAAAGATAGCCAATGAAATCTGTACATTACCAATCTCATTGTGATGGTAACACCAAGTGGATAATAATAATAATAATAATAATAATAATATAATGGAATATCTCATTATCTGAAATAGAGATCAAGATGGTGACCAATAAATATAGAAAGTTACATTGTGTTTTATTTTTTTGTATACATGACCTGTTAAAATTCTAAAATAAAGAAAAAAAAAGATTGATGATGAGAAATATATGGAAAATGGTAAAAACAGAAAAATCTTCTTTTACTAATGATTGCAACAAGAATAAAAATGAAGATTCCAAAGCTATTTTCATGTTATTCCTTCTCATTTCACTTGCAAAAGATTTTGGGAAATCTCCAACGAGAAATTTCAAAAGTAATCAGTATGCAAATCTATTTGATAAAGTGTTTCACTTAAAAAAAGAAATCTTGAAAGCATAACTGAAAGGACTGACTAATACTGACAGGTGTGTGTGTGTATGTGTGTGTCTGTTTCTCTCTATCTTATATATGTATATTACATGTATGTATATATGTATAAGTTAAAGATCAAATGAAGATTGGAATCTGACAGGATGATAAGATAAATAGCAAGCATATATCAATTTAACATGTTTCACTTTTTCTAAGATTGAGAGAAAGCAGACAAAAAACAGAACTTTGGTATTTTCAATTTTGTTTGGGTCAATTCTCATTGGTCAGTCATGTATCACATGAATTAAAACTAGATAATTCTATATGTATGCCTAAGTGGACATTGGATAGTAATATGTATTCATAATTGTGTATCTGTCTAGTAGGAGAAGTTCTAATGTCAGCCGGCACAATGGGGTGTCACTCCACTTTAATCTGGGGCTGTTTCTTTATACACATACTCTTTGTATCAGATAGATATAAGGATTCAAAGAAGGATGGCAATGTAATGTTTTAGGTGCATGTTTATTGTTGCTAATAATGTTATTATTAAGCTTTCAAATATTTTTTCTTTAAGGGTTATGTTCTTTTTTAATTACCATGGCATTACTGACATAACTTTAATATTTCATGAATATATATATGGCCTGAAGATTTCATTCAAGAATAAAACAGACTGTCATCAGATGCTGTCCCCTTTTATATTAACATATGCTCTATTTCTGATATTGAGCAATTTTATAGCATACAATAAGAACATATTTTTATTATACTGTGTGTGGCATAAATATTATTACAAAAGAAAAGTTCATAATGCCTGAAAAAGGTTTTATATCAACATACAATTTTAACACAAAGTAAGTAATAATCCGCAAAATAACATTCAATATGTTTCCCTTTTGTCTTCACCAAATGTCAAAGTCTTTCAAGAAAGCCATTAATGGTGGCACTCACAATTTCCATGGATATT